TATTTTAAAACAGATTTAAGAAGCTATTCCCACTTGTAAATAGAAAGAGGTTTTCTCGCTCATCAGAAAGATAATACTTGGTTATAAGCTGAATTCCATCTGGCTTCTGATGGTTCACTTCAACATTCCCCAAACTTCAGAAATTATTTTGGGCTTTTGAAATCATGAAAAAGGTTTCTATTTTTACAAAATATTTCCGCCATAAAAAAAAAAAAGAAAAGTTCCAAAAAGGAACAGTTAGTGTATCAGCTATACAAAATAATCACCATATGTATATTTTAGAAGAAGATGGACTGGCATCATGGGAAAGTTTATTATTTAAAGAAGGAGCCAGATATATTGGGGGGAATTCCCATTAGCACAATAGAAAGTATGAAGAATATACTGAGCTTCCATATACGGTGCTGGCCATTCCAGGTGTAGGTCACTCAAGCCATTTAAAGTCTTGGCTCCATAAGTGAGTGCTACACTCTTCAGAGTCTTTTTGGGGTTGCTGACATAATGATCCACTCCAGGCTGGGTGCTGCCTGAGCCACTGCTCTCCTGCACAGTGTTTGAAGGGTGGGACGGGGTGCAGCTGTGTGGGCCCCCAGACACCTGAGTGCAGAAGATTGCTGAATCTTGCTTCATTTCTGTGCTGTTTGGAAAGCTGGACGCTCCCCAACTCTCTCTTGGGTTTGGCTTCCTGTTCACATGTTTTCTGGTCTCATGTCATTGTGCATGAAGTAATAGTCCCACATGCGAGCACCATCCACAATGGCAAGATTTGTGTGGTTCAGTGCAAGTTTTCTAATGAGGACATTTTGGACCTTCCAACAACTCCTTAGGGAAAGCAGTTTGGAACTGTTATTACTTTCCAAGGCATTACAAGCACAGACAGAATGCACTTCTGCAACAAGATGAAAAGCCATTTTTAGGAGAAATTAAAGGACTGCCGAAGAAAACGACGTGTTTACCTCACACATCTATCTCCATGTGTGTATATGTGTGTACAGTGTAGAAAAATACCTCCAATTCAGTTTAAAAACATCAGTTACTGTTTCAGCATTTCACTATGAATGGTGCTAGTGTTTTCCACCGAGGACTGTTATTTTAATGGCATTTCTCTGCAGCAAAATCTGATGAGTTTACGAAGTTTGAGAGCCAGGAAATGCAGCTCAGTTTCTGAACAACTGAAAGCCAAGAGACTTAATTTCAATCATCTACTTACTTTATAGCATGGATTCATAAGTGCTAAGTACAACAGCGCTAATACAGACAGAGAAGCCAAACCAAACTTTTCAAGTACAGCTCTTAAACTATCAAACTCAGCTTCCCAGTATATTATCAGCAGGTGAAATTCTGGTGCACAACTGCATTTATTTGTGGATGTTAATGTCAAATTAATAGGCATAGGTGCCAATGTTTTATAGAATTTTAGAGCAGAAAGGGGTTTTGGATGTCTCCCAATCTTATCTGTGCATTTTATGAACAGAAACTGAGATTCATACGAGCGCTCACTTTCTTGCTCTCTCACTCTCTCTCTCTTTCTCCCCCCCCACACACGCGTTTGCGCAAGACACATCTGAGTCTTGTGCTGAGTCGTTGCTTATGGAAAATATCATAAATCTGGCTTAATAAAAAGAAAGGACAAAATGACCCAGAGCCAGGCCAGTGATGGCCTGCTTCATTCAAGTTTGTGTGGCCCAGCTTCGGCGCCGTGTGGACTGACAATTTATCCTTGCTTCAGGAACCATTCAAGGTCTTAGATTAGGTGTTTTTGACCAAAACTTGAATAAACTCCAAAACAAACCCGGAATCAAGACATAACTCAGATCCTGATGATGAAGGGGTGCTTCACTGGCGCATCATACTTCCTGGCGGCCACGTTATGATTAGAGTCTGAGATGTAGACGAAGCCCCAGGTATAACCCTCACAATTTAGCAATCCTAAAACCTGATCGAGAGATGAGCCCTCACCCATGTAGGCAAGCAGTGACAACAGTGGGGACTGTATAACTAAATGCTACATTGCATGGCATGGGTTTTTAAGTGTTGGAGTGCTGGTGAGAGAAATGAAAATAGAGGTTGTTAGGAAATGTCAGGATTTCAGCTGATCCCAGAGGGGTGCCTAGAACTTGAATAGGTGGGGGGAATAATGGCAGATTTTTCTCGGTAAAGAACAGCGGAAATGAAAGTATAAAGAGAGTCTCACAGAGCGTGAGGGTGGGGGAAGGAGGAGAGGGGGGACCCTGAGGAAGCCAGGCTGGTGGGTACTGTCTTATAGCATTTCCCAACCTGATCAATGGACCACCTACCGAGCCCCCAGTAATGCCTTATGTTATTATCTACTAAAATGTTACTGAAATACGTACCCTAAAAAACGTAAGTATTAATTACTTGAATTATGTTTATATAACTATACATCTGCAATAATAACATTATATTTATATCATTGAAAATCCAAGAGAAATTGCTGATTAAATATGAACAAAGCCATAGACCAATAATATTCTCTCTCTTTTTTTTTTGAAGATTTTATTTATTTATTTGAGAGAGAGAGAATGAGAGACAGAGAGCAGGAGAGGGACGAGGGTCAGAGGGAGAAGCAGACTCCCTGCCGAGCAGGGAGCCCGATGCGGGACTCGATCCCGGGACTCCAGGATCATGACCTGAGCCGAAGGCAGTCGCTTAACCAACTGAGCCACCCAGGCGCCCAATAATATTCTCTTTAATGTTAATTCTCTTTGCCAGATGATGCCATTTTGCTAAAATTAAAGAATAAATTTGTTTTAACCGTGTTCATTCATGCAATTATTAAAAAAGAAACACTTTAATAAGAAATTTCTTTTGCACACTTAGTACTATGCCTATTTATAACGAATTGTTCCAAGAGGTGCGTGTGAAGGAGGACAGGATCCAAGCAGTAACTCTGCTGGTGTCCAAGTTACGGAGCCAAGAACCGTGATGGCTCAGCCATCCTATCACCTTGCTCTGATCTGGCCAACACAACCTCACACAGCACCGCCAGAAGCATTTGCCTCTCGTGGGCACATACGCATCAGCCAGGTATTCAGGCTGCCTCTGTTCTCCCTCTAATAGCCGACAGCAATTAAATTGTTACATTATAATCCCACAGGTTACCAGTTTAATGATGACAAATCAGAGCCCTTGTTTATAAAATTTATGGAAACTCTGCTCCCATTCCATGAAAATACCTTTTGATTGCAAATTACCACTGCAAGGGCAGTTGTATCTTTATTACAGGCTAAAAAAAAAAAAAAAAAAAAAAAAAATTAGCCCACGTAATAACAATGGCCAACGTTTATAGTGTGCTTAACGATGGGCCAAAAATCCTTCTAAATTTTTTACTTGGATGCTAACCTGTCATCTTCCCATCAACCCTATGGGTTAGATACTATCTTCAATCCCCATTTTTCAGAGGCTTCCGAGGCATAGAGAAATTCAGTAACTCGCTCAAGGTCACATAGCCAGTGAATGCTGTAGCTTGGAATTCAGGCATCCAATTCCAGGGTCTGCTACCCCCAGGGGTATATTCAGAATGATTGCAAAAAGAGTGTTCTTTGGCATTAGGCTATGCCAGCACGACCACAGGCAGATACTTAGAGCTTCACGCTCCGGGGTAAACATTTACTTGGGGAGATCACAAGGTGTCATGCATAATTATAAACGTAAACATTTCCATGTCCTCCAGGAACATATTTAAAAAGTAGACCTCTGTGTGATGCTTATAATAATTTGTAAGATTATCAGAGACATGGGAACAGAGAATGTAAAAGCTGTCCGAGAGCTCAGCACCTCCCAGGATGGGAAGCACAGGGGAGCAGTCAAAAGGCCAACCGGGTTGGGCGTGCCAGATGACAGGGTGGTGTAGATGGGTGGTGGAGCTGAGCTTCTGTCAGGAATGGAAAGAGACATGATAAGGGTGGCGTGGGAGGAAGGGTCCTGCAGCCAACAAGGCCAGCACCAGGGAGGCCCTGCTGCGGCAAAATCTTGCTATAAGAATGAAGCTTCCAGAGCAGAGCAAAAAGGACTTGGTACTGCCCACGTTTAACCTAAATCAGCAGGGCCAGTTCAGATCCAGAAGAGATTCCAGGTCTATTGTATTGAGGGAAATAATCTATACCCATTACCTCTGAGATTCCCCTCTGTGCATACCAATAGACACTGGTTTTCACCAGTGAAGAGGTAAGAAGGCTCAAATGAAATGTTCTAATATTTACATGGGCAAGAAAAATACTTTCTAAAGGTAAAGGAAATGTGGGGTTGTTAAAGTGTGTGTATTGCTTTCCTATTCTTTTATATTTCTGATAGCTTATATTTTCTCATAAGATACATATGTTACATATTTTCTATTTCCTCTTTTGTACTATGTATCATATGATGTGTACATGTTAAAATGTGCTCTGCACTGAGGCAAGATTACATCATCATATACTGCATTAATCTGGGTGTTTCCTCTTATTCGAAGTATCTAAGTTGATTTGAGTTACTTACATTTTTCACCTGCCATAAATGCAAAAGAGAAACAAATTTAACCACTTGTAAATGCTTACTTTGCTACTCACCAAATAATAGCTTGCAGCAGCTTTAGGAGATTTTGTGAATCAGCACATTTTCCTTCCAAACAGGTCTCACAACCTGAAATTCGAGGTCACTCAACTTTTAAACTTGGAACGCTTTGTAAACTTTTAAAAAGAAATTCTTCTTTATTAGTTTTAGGAAATCTAGTCAGAGAATAATATGAAATGAATCTAAGGGACAGTCTTTCCCTTGATGAAGAGAGAGACGAATGGGAACTCCTACAAAAGCACTGAATTACCCACCGTATTTCAAAGTCTCTCACAAGTGATTGTAAGAAAAGCAGTGTGGATAAAATTTGGAGACTATTATTCCTAATGATGTTCCTCTTTGAAGTTTGTGAAAGGGCGCCATCTGAGAGATGAGAGAAGCCACTGATAAAATGCAACTGAGGGCACATTTGCTCTCCTCCATTGTAGGTGCTGACGGCCACCCACCACCGTCTGAAGAAGGTGATTTTGGCAGATGACATGCAGGTTCTCCACGACAGAGTAATTGCAGAAAATCTTCAAAGGTACTCGTAGCAAACATTTATCTCTTGCTTAATTAAGCCAAGGGACTAATTAAAGCTGAGCACTCCATGTCACTTGAAGAGGGACTGTTTCATGGATGGGGAATTGTAAGAAACAGAGGAGCCCCGCACCTTCCCGTAACATTTTCCTCCTTCCTGGATGAGAGAGCTAAAAGGGGCCTTAAATGGGGTAGAGCCATTGCATGAAATTAGTCTTCAGGAATGGCAAAAGAACCGTCTGAATAATGAGTATCTAAAGAATCAGGGGCGCCCAGCTGGCTCAGTCAGGAGAGCCTGTGACTCTTGATCTTGGGGTTGTGAGTTTGAGCCCCACATTGGGTGTAAAGCACTTTATGAACATGTCATGGCTGCTCAGGAAGCTCAGGGGAATTTAGAGCCACAGTGAATGGCAGGCCAGCTCCACCCGGTCATCCACACAAATGTCACCTGTCTTGTTCATAGCTTTGCCTTCACAGTTTCTTGCCTTGGCCAAGTGAATATTAGTGCCAGGGTGTTGTGGGGCCAGGAAGAGTTACAGAGACCCACCTAAGCGATATGACCTTAGTTGCAAAAACATTCTTAGGGGTGTTGATTCATATAAGTTTACAGCCCCATGTGTCTCTTCTCAAATGTCAACATTGAAATTTGTTCCCTTCTTCCCCAACCAAACTAATGCAATGGAAACTGTTGAATTCCTGTTGATTTCAAATTGCGGCTCTTCAAAATCATTACCCTTCACTTGCTTTTCATTCTAAGCCTTGCGTTGGCCCAGGTTGTCTTGGATAAAGTCCTCTAATCACCAAAAAGTTCGTGAACCTCACACAAAACAAAATGAAATCTTTAGCAGGTCTGGCCTGAATTTCAGGTTTGTCTCTTGAGGACTGATTTATCGAGCTTTTCTTTCTAATACTTATGGAATTAAGCATTTTGTGTCCACACTACAAATGGCAAGTTTAGCAGGGAAATACCTAGAAGTGTACAGAAGTCTGGGGTTAGTTCCTTGACAGAAAATCATGAGCCTTGCCATTTTTTTCCTGTAATTCTCTGTGCTTTGTGTGCAGATGATCTGGGGTATCACCAGAAACATATTGAAGCTGGTTATCCACAAGATAAATCAAAAATAAGAGAAAACAAGTTGAAACTTAGGTCTCCTTCCTTCAAAATTCCAAACAGGAGAGGAAATAATCCAAAACAGAAACTAAAAAAGGTATCTGTTTAGAAATTAGTTCAATGAACAGTAGAACTGTGACTTCTTAAGAATTCTTCATCTTCTTGAGTCAGTTCTCCATTTTTTTTTAAAGATTTTATTTATTTATTTGACAGAGAGGGACATGGCGAGAGAGGGAACACAAGCAGGGGGAGTGGGAGAGGGAGAAGCAGGCTTCCTGCCGAGCAGGGAGCCCGATGTGGGGCTCCATCCCAGGACCCCGGGATCATGACCTGAGCCGAAAACAGATGTTTAACAACTGAGCCACCCAGGCGCCCCATAGTCAGTTCTCCATTTAATGGGTAATTTTACTTTAAGCATTATGTCCTTTTCATTTTTCAGCATATTCTTATTACAAGAAAACAGAAATGTGTTTAATATTGGATCAAGTTAGAATCACTTGCTCAAGGGGCACCTGGGTGGCTCAGTTGGTTAAGCGACTGCCTTCGGCTCAGGTCATGATCCTGGAGTCCCGGGATCGAGTCCCATATTGGGCTCCTTGCTTAGCAGGGGGTCTGCTTCTCCCTCTGATCCTCCCCCCTCTCATGTGCTCTCTCTCTCTCATTCTCTCTCTCAAATAAATAAATAAAATCTTTAAAAAAAAAAAAAAAAGAATCACTTGCTCACATTTAACACACAAGACGCCTACTTCTTAAACATCCGTAGGCCCCCTCTGAGAGGAGTCTCCAGCATGCTTTTTCTGTCCTTGGACTGGAAAATTCAGATTCGAAGTCCCACCAAGTCCCGGCTTCAAACTCTCTGCCCTTCTTCATCCAGTCCTTGAGCTGGATTAGATAGACAGCTGAGTCACTTTGCACCACCACCTCTGTATTCCTAGCTCTACAGTCCTCTCATCTGGCAAATTTTGTAGAAAGCAATGAGTCCTTTCTGTGTGTGCTCAGACAGTCAGGTTTATAAAATAAGGACCACTTTAAGGAGCCTTAGAGCTTCAGAATGCTGCCTTGTGCATTTTTGATTGCCTCTCTGCTCCTGTCATCTGGATATAAAGTTCATTCAACATTTTTCCAGCTTTAAGAACTGCTTACCTGCAGTTCATTGAACTTGGCATCACCTCCAAAGTACGTAACACGAGAAACAGAACCAGGAGATGTTATAAGCAAAACACAGAAGCTGCCTAAGCATCTCCTGACTGTCCAATTGCCAGAAGATTCTCTTTTGATCCAAGGAAAGATAGATTGTGTTCACATACAATAAGACAACAAAAGGACAATTAAATTTCACAGCTTGGGGGAGATTGTGAGAGTTCTTGGCAAAAATGTTCACACCTGTGAAACAGACTGTTATTTTTTGTGGAGCCTGGTTTTCAGCTTGAAATACACCTGCCAAAATCTGAATGGCTGCTATTGTGCATTCCGGACTCGAAAACTGCTCTGTCAGACAAGGTTTGGGGCACACAGATGGGATAACTTAGAACAGCGGCTATGTTGTTTGTAAGGAAATTAAGACCTTTCCTAGCCCTGCTGATGCCTATTTAGGATGGAAAATTTTATCATAAGCATGTCTTGGCTGTGCCTCCCTGGCACTTTATTTTTTTTATATTACCTTAATAATTTAAGTGATACTCAATGCCTTAATTTAAATTTAAGAGATTTTTTTTAATTGTCCATGGACTGTAATAGTGAACTACATCTTTTCAAGGGATCAACTCCAGACTTCGACCCTAAAAACTGCTAAAATTATCTTTGGGTATCCACCGAGCATTAAAAGCTTGCTGCGGAATATAAATAGCTGAATTTGGGGGTGCTAAGAAGCCGACTCTTTTCCCTTGTGATCATTCTCGCCCTTAACGTTTCTCATTGCACATCCTAGCGTCAGTTAAAATAATGTATTTGTTGTAAAACAATATAATAGCGATCCAATATGAAAATATGTTGAGGTAAAGCATACACACACTTAACTCCAGCCCTTTAAGTTTTTTATATATGAATATATGCAGTGAGGAATCATATACAACTGCCACTATTTGACTATTTTGACCTACAAAAGCAGCAATTTCGTATGGTACTACCTAATATTTTATATAATTGGAAACTCAGAGAATATACTATTTTATTCTGATTCTTTTCACTGTTGTATTGAAACAATCTACAGTTTCTGCAGTGTCTTCATAGTTCATTAGTTTGAATTGGGGCATCATTTCCTATTACACGGATGTGGGGCATATTAAGTGGATTTTGCTTTTTTCCTGTAAGAGATAACTATGCTCAAAAAAACCTAACCCGCACCTTCCTTCACACAGCCGTTTTATTTAGTTGCCTTCTAATGCCAGTTTTGAAACTAATGTCTTCTCCTGCGTCCCGTCCTTTCATCCCTCCGAGACTAAATACTTTCACATGTGGGTCATCGATACAAATCTAAGTGATAAAGCAAGTGCTAGTATGCGCAAGCCTACCAATGTGCACACATGCATACACATCGTTAAATGGATCTGTTTAGACAGTACATCCTCAAACTTGTGCTGAAAGAAAACACCAAGCTTCAGCCTGTGCCACCTTTCGCTGGCTTTTCTCCATTTTCATCTGACTGAGTGAGACCTGTCCCAGCAGATGGTCCTCTCAGTATGCTTTGGCTGCCAAGAGAATAGAGCTTTGTCTAATATGGCGAGGAAACGCACTCCCGGGATATTAACCGACCAGAGCAAAACCCTTTGCTCTTGCCATAATGATACATTCAGGCAGGAAGTTAAGAGGAAAATAGCTACTCCCCTGGGAATGAGGAGGGGGAGGGAGGGGAGCAGTTTAATTATGATGAGGGTGGGGGCGGGGAGAGGGGGACAGTCACAAGTGGAGATCAAGAAAAAAGAATGGGATGATGTCATTCTTTACTGGGACAGTCACTGAAATGAAATCAGGTCACACACAATGGTCTTGTTCTATCCCTGCAACCATAAGTGTTACAAGAGATTACTTTGTGGCAATGCTTGTTAGGAAGGGTCTCAGGGCCGTGCTCACATTGAGATATCCCCCAAGACATCTTTAAGATGGGTAAGAAGGACAGAAGCATCCCATCCAGTGCCAAAATGACCCACACGAAGTGCACATTTGTTTTAAGATCACTAAGCCACAGTTTAGGAGAGAAAAAGTGTGGATCCTTATAACAGTGAATTTTAAGAAGCAGAATGCAACTCCACAGCTTGGTTTCAGGCAAGATGTTTTAAATTGATTCCCTTTCTCATAGGATAATTTTGAATGGCATTTTAAAGTTAAGGCGGAATATATTTCTCAGTATCAAGTTGCATTTTCTGAAAAGAAATACTGCCTTGTACTATGTTAGGGCATTTTTAGGACTGATTAACTCTGCTTACATAGGAAGCATTTGATTTGTGTCGATGTTGAATCCCTAGAGCACTGGTGGCAGATGTATTCAAATTTAGGTTCCTTCTCTCAATGATGTCCTAATTTAACCTCATTCATCTGCTTCGATTTCACAAGAGGGCATCGCAATTACAAATGAAGGTTAGATTTTTTAAGAAGTCATCCCTGGAATAATTAGGTGATAGGGTCAAATCCTGTTATTAAGATTCAGTTGTGATTGCATTATAGGGCTTAAAACAAATAAGTCATTGACTGAGGCTTTTTTTTTTTTAGGACATCTTTGCTGTGCGAGTATTTACCATAGTAGAACTGAAACACTGTAGGCTTTTTACATTCGTATCTGCAGGGTACAGAATTTACAAAATGTAATGTTCAATTTTGGTAAACCACTGGTCTTCAGGTACATGTGTATATCTAGGGGCAAGGTCCTTCTCTCTTTTGTAGACTTTACAAAAATGTAA